ACTGAGGTACGTGAAGTCCCCAGCTCAAGGCACATTGCAACCCAGCCAGGGTGCCTCAAAATAGGGATTCCACAGCATATGGAGACAGGGAAGCACACAGACCTGGACAGCCCTCTCCATGTGCCACTCCTCAGCTGGCTGGTGCACAGTGTGCCTCAGCACGGGGGCTGCCTACTGGACCCCAGCCAACCCCAACCAACCAACTTACTAGACCCTAGCCAACCTCTCCCTGCACCCCAGCCAACCCCACACCCTGCAGCACATGGAGCAGCAGGACAATGTGTCCCGCTGCAACGTACATGAACAGGGGTGTGCACTGCAACACTATTTGTGCTACTGCAAACACATGCTCCTGCTCATGTGGATGCAGCCTCTGATTACATGAATCATGGAATAATTGTTCTTTTTCAGTTCTGTTCTATACTCTGATCAGAATTTCGCTCACCTCTGGAAAAGTTTCTCAAATTCTTCCTCTGATGTTTTAATCCCCTGCCTTCCCAGTCAGCATATCTTTTCAATAAGATCAAGGATGAGTAGTTTATTTCTTGCTGTTACCATAAATTATATTTTACCAATTCATTGTTTCCCTGCACAGCTAATTCATGTACTACCTTAATAAGTATTAGTTCAGCATTGTAAGCCCTGAGTTTCATTTACCTTCTAAGGCAGGAGCCTTTTTCAGTTTTATGATCAGTGTTTCTGAAATCATTTATGTCCAACATAGAATTACTAAATGTCCCAATTTATTTTAGATTAATAGTCCATCCTATGCTACAACACTGTCCTCCTATGAAAAATTCCCCATTGGCTAGTGATGCTGTGGGCATTTTCTTTCTTCATACTATGCATGTTCTATTGGTGCATGGGAACATTTCTAAAATGATTAAATCCATTGCCATTCTTTTTCCAAATACTAAGCATATTCTCTCCTTGTGCTGAATACTAACATGCATGCAGCTTAATTAACTGTGTTTTTAGATTTAGATTTGAGCTCTATATGCTTTACCACAGAAAAGCAAGGGTTTTTGGTGATACATGCTACTGAAACAACAGTATAGTTGGGAGAGATGTTAGTCAAGGTACTGGCACCGAAGTGCCTTTCTTCAGATTTTTAAAAGAAGCAGTTACAGGAGGTGCAGGCTAAGTTAAATGCCAGATCAGACAATGGCTTGTATTGGTCCAGTCAAAGATACCACCAAAATATCTGCATATTTCCTGGACCATCACAGCTACAACAACACTCCAACCATATTTTGTACCACAAGTCTCTTGCAGTATTTCAGATCATCTGTAACATGCAGGTGTCAGTCTTGTAGTATTTTAGATTATCTGCAACATCCACAGGTCAGAGCACTGCCCACCCTTCACGGACTCAGGAAATAACTTCAAATGTAGTCTAGTCCCTCGATCAAGGATCATTCCTGTCCAGCCCCTCCCAGACAAATGTGTGCCTAACCAGCACTTGGAAACTTCCAGTAACACATTTTACAACCTCTCTAGGTAATCTGTTCCACTTCTTTATCATCCTTATAGTTAGAAATTTATTTCTAATATTTAGCCTAAATCTCTCTAATACTTTAGGCCCATTATTTCTTGCCCTTTCCCTTGTGGTCATAGAGAATAATTCACTGCCACCATCTTTATAACAATTCTGTTTTCCACCTATATTGTTTTCAAAACCTCTGTCCACTTTTGTTCCTTTCCTCTAGACTAGATCCAATTTGTCTACGGCTTTCTTATTTTGTGGTATCCAAAACTGGACACAGTCCAAATAAGGCCTCACCAGGTTGAACAAAGTGGAAGAATCATTTCCCATGATTTGCATATGACATACTGTTACTACTTACCAGGCTATTAGCCTGTTTTGTAACTATTTTGTTGCTTGCTCATAGTCATCTTGTGATTCCCATAGCTGCCATTTCCTTCCCTGCAGTACTGCTTAGACAATCATTTGCCATTTTATATTTGTGCCCTCTGGGGTGAATATAAATCAGTCTTGGGGGTCTTACAACTTTGCAAGAGTAAATAAATATGCATTGGATCAGGTACTTTAATATGGGTCTAGCATATTCCTGGGGAGTTCCCTAACCACAGAGTTATGGATTCAGTCATATTCACCCCATCTCTGGTCCAGTGAGTATTTATGTACTTATACCAAGTAGAACAGCTCCATCAGGAAAGAGATACTACCTCTACCCCAGAATAGCCTGATAATTACAGCAGTCACCTGAAATGCAGAACATCAGAGCACGAAGGGTTTTTGAACCCGAAAGCTTGCTTAATAACTATTCTCCAACCATTTGGGTTGGTCTAATAAAAGATATCAAATTCACCCAAGGAACCTTGTCTGAACATCAGAGCATGTTGTTAAGCCTGTGTCTTATTTTAGAAGAGTGCTCAGAACACCAGGCTCACAGCTTTCTCACAGGCAGTGTTTGGGGTTGGGGTTTTTTTCACAAAAAACTTTTAAAGGTCTCAGTTTTGTCCTGATATAGATTACACAAGCTTTCCCTCAGAGATCCACTTAAAAGTATTCAAACACTGCAAATTGTTGACTTCAATGATTGCACTGACTTCAATGGACTTCGAAATAAGCCATATATTTAGGTGTATGCATTTAAATATCTTAAAAAAATTCCATTTAGCTTAAAACGTAAGACTGTCCATTGAAATCATGTAAAAGAGTTCTCTGCTTGCTGCCCTGGTTCTCCACAAAACACTGCCTTAGTTTTAGTATACTCCATGAAACCAACCCAAGCTATGTCAAAGAGCTGTAATTCCTTCACAAAGATAGCCTATTGGCCTCCCTTCACAGTTCTCTTCCTTCAGCTCCATGAGGCTGCCAGCTTCAGGAAAAGACGACTTTCTTGGCAGCTGAGCTGAGACTGGAACTAGGTATTAGAAGACAATCGCAAATCTCCTTGCCTTCAGACAGCAGAGGAAAAACATATTTTTTCATATTTCTTTCTTTTCTCTTCATTTTAAAATGGTAAAAGTAATAAAATAAATAAAAGCATGACAAGGGAGGAGAAAAGGAAAGAGAAAAGAAAGTGTATAAAAGAGGAGAAGAAATGATAGAAAAGCAGAAATATTTAAAAACAATAATAATAAAGTACTGGCCTACTCTTGTAGAGAAAACGGGGAGAGGACAGGTGAAACTAGAGCTCTAACTTACTTATCTTACCTACTTATCATCATTGCATGCCTGCACTTTTTAATAGGAAACACTATGGGGCAGAGAGTTTCTTTTTGTCCGTGTTAGTCCGTGAGTAGCGCTTCTATACTACTAAGTATAAATAATAGTTATAAAATATAAGAAAATGAAGACAAATTGAATTATGAAACTGTGTTGACTCTCTAGCACTGAGAAAAGAAAACCCAATTATTACAGCATACATGCAAGTTTCTAGAGCAGCATCATAGGGTAGTATCCCTCCTATCCCAATTCCTTCCCTATACAGAGTCAGTTGATACAATTCCTTCAGTTTTTACTCAGGTTTATACATTATGAAAGGCAATAGAACTTTGCATTACTATTACATTATTGCATTAAATCTGTACATGTATATTTTTTATAACTTAGTTATGTAAAAAATAAGGTCCATGAGCCAGATCCTTGTGGAGCCCTATCATTTGGCCAGTGGTGCTGTCCCTAGGTCGCGGGCTGGGGCAGCATGCCATATGAGCATGGTGCACAGAGGTAGAGTGCACTGCACATGGCATGTGGGACCATGGGTACATGTGGTGCTTGATACTAGTTCTGCACACCTGCCGCACACAGCACCCTCACCAGACTGGTCTCAGGCACTGCATGTGGCTAAAGCCAGTCTGGCCCAGTGCATGATGTTGGCTTGGCACGTGCCAACATCATGCACAGGAGGCACTACTTCACAGTCAGGGTGGCCAGGATCTGAAACCAGCTTCCAAGGGAAGTGGTGCTGGCTCCTACCTCGGGGGTCTTTAAAAGGAGGCTTGATAACTACCTAGCTGGGGTCATACGAGCTTAAACTTACCAGGGGTCATATAAGCCCAGTATTCATTCCTGCCCAGGGCAGGGGGTTGGACTTGATGATCTGCTTAGGTCCCTTCCGACCCTACATCTATGAACCTATAAACCTATGCTGCCCAGTGTGTGGGGTGTCCAGTGGCTTCTGTGCCAAACTGACCCTGCACACTGGATCCACACTGTTTTGAAGCAGGATACACTTAGATAAAGAATTGAAATCAAATTCTGTGGCATGACATGCAGTTTTCAGGTGACTCCCTTTGCAATGAAAAATGCATTTCCTAGTTAGAATGAGTGAGGAAAAATATGTAAGTATGTCAACATAGAGCAAAAGGTAAGGTTCAGCATGCCAGGTATCTAATGAATAGAAGGAGCAGATAAAGTGTAAAAATGATTGGGCCAGTTCCTCAATTTATGCAGATAAGTGTAGCTCTGTTGAGGTCAGTGGAGCAGTGCCAATTTATACTAGTTAAGGATCTGATCTTAGATTGAAAGGGCTCTTAAAAGAGAGATCCAACCAAAAACAAATTACAAGCAATGCCAGACCATGCCAAGGGAAGTAGGTTGAATTAAGAAAGAAAAGGTACATATCATTAACATCAAGTGAGTATGTGACAATCTCAGCCTTAAGTTGTAGAGATATGTGAACACTGAAGCATGGAGAGAAGCACCTGTTATTTTAAAATCCCTTTGGTATGAATGAAAAATGTTGGTTCTTACCATTCCAGTTGCTATATTTCAAATCTTGAAAGAGATTTGTGTGTTTCAGTTAATGAAAGGTAGAGGAAGTTCTGGAAATTAGTTTACAAAATCATTGCTTGGTTTCTTGACAGACCTTATGGCTTTCCTGAATTATCCTGAGTATTCCTCATGCTCTTTCACCTCAGAGCTGATGTGACACGATCCAGAATATCTTCTTTTGCAAAATATGAAAACATGTTGTGAACTTGAAATATTTTAACTGTGCTCTATTATATTGTTTTTCGTTTTACAGGTTGACCTCCTTGTTCCTACAAAAGTGACTGGCATAATTACACAAGGAGCTAAAGATTTTGGTCATGTACAGTTTGTGGGTTCTTATAAACTTGCGTACAGTAATGATGGGGATCACTGGACCATATACCAAGATGAAAAACAAAAAAAGGATAAGGTAAAATAACAAGGCAATTGATATTTGAGTTGCATTTTACAGAAAACTAAGATTATAGTAACATCAGTGCTGCCAGCCTACAGGTTAATGTATGTTCTCTGCTTTATGTGGTTCCTTATGCTTATGGTTCTGCAGATAAAAGTCAAGGTGACTAGAAAGGAATCATAACACAATGACATTCAAACATACTGTAATATTATACATATCAATGCAGTGTGTCAGATTCAAAGCTATTAAATGTGGGACATAAAACTTTATGGTTCTCCATTTATTGGAATTATTTCTTCCTCTAACTCTAATATGGAATACATATAAATAGTTATTTGTTTTTGTTTTGAGAACAACACGTCTGCTCAGAATTTGATAAGCACTCACAGAAAAGCAGCTATTCTATGAAAAAATGCATTTTAATGTACCCTTTGCCTAATAAAGTTATGTTAATTTTTCTAGAATTTTACCAGTCTAAGTCTACAAATACCCAAAAGGTATATATCTTCATATTACCACAGCACTGCAGACATAAACATAAATAATAGAATTATACAACTCTTCCTTTGCAAATCTGAGGTAGACCTACAGCAGGAGTAGGGTCACTGCCTGATTCTATATTTTATATTTAGGATGCTACTGAATGCACTTTTGCTTTACACTGAATGATATTCTTTATGTTTCAAACAGCTAAATTCATTGCACAGCCAACTATTTTTCAGGGATCTTTTTAAGAGAACTATTAAGTGTGCAGAGAAAATGGGAAATAATTATTACAACTTTTAGATGGATTACATCTAACCAGAACAAAGATACATTAATTTAAATTCCAGATGGCTTCTCTGTCTAACTCTTGTCTCAAGTTTTCAGTGTTTTCAACAACTATTATATTCAGTTATTAAATGTTCTGAGAATAAACAGAATTGCTTATAAAAGGAAGATTTAATATTCTTCATATGTATCAATTTTATTTCGTTTTGTATTCTGTGAAGAATCTTAGACTACATAGTCAAATTTATCAACGTGGGTTTAGGCTAGGATACCTCTGCTAACTTTTTGAGTTGTCCCACAGATTTCAGTTGACTGAAAGGTGCTACTTAGTCTGATTCAGAGGGTATACTAGCCTATACTGTTTTTCTATAAATGTTTGTGTTATCAACATGTATGCATGTTTCTTTAAGGATATTTTTTCAGAGAGAAAACTACTTGACAGCATTGAGATCAAAATGGCACATCTCAGAGGTTTTATGCTATAATAACTTGTTAAATAATTGTTGAAGGACTTCAGATAATAAAAACAAAATCTGTTTATGTAACCACCCAACTGAGAGGGTCCTGGCAGCTTGATTATGGATGGATGTCTAGTATAATTGGTTGGCAGAAAAAATAGGAAACAAACAACATATGAATATATCACAAATTAATTAGAGAGCTGCAAACTTCAGTACTTTGTACACATATTACATTATATCTGGCATTTTAAAAAATTGCTTCAGAAGAAATGATTTCTCTCACTAAACCTCTAATAGCAAATGGCTACATTGATTATACTAAAAAAAGAGCGTGCATTCAAGCCTTCAGTAATAAACAGTCACATAAAAAAACTAAAACTAAATGCAATCGTGCTTAACAGTACTTTTCCTGTTTGTTTGTTCTAGTCTCCAGTATTTGCCAAGGCAATTTAATTTTTTTTTTCCCCGTTCATCAGATGAATTGTTGATGCCTGTATACACAGACCTTGAGGAAAAATGAAAAGCTCTTAATCACTGTCTTATTAAAAAATCTTGCACTCCATATAAAATAAGAACCTAATTTTGTGTACGATAGATGGAGCATTCCTGAACCAGAATAGACTAGCTAGAGAGAAGATGTGACCAAATATGTTTAGTGTAGAACTAGAATTTTAATTCTTGGTTTTTGTCTGTAAAAGCATGCCACTGTGATCTTAGGCAAGTGACAAAACTTCTGCGCTGTAGATTCCACTATCTTATTTTAATCCAGAGTAGCTCTTCTGGTATTAACTTAATCCAGAGTATCTTTTTAGATATTAATTAGAAAACGTGAGTGCCAGAATCTGACATCCATAAGCATTTATGGACATTCCATTGTTTTTTCCATGAAGCATGACCCTTTGGGTTTATGGAGGACCCAATTCATTGGCCACATTTTGGCCTGTTTTCAAAATTAAATTTACTCATCTGTGTGATAATACCAAAAAAGAGGTGCCGTCAAAAATGTTGTGCATTACTCAGAGCGGGAAGAAGAGAAACTATAATCCTGAAGCTGGAAACTGGGAATATTTTTTGCAGAAGAACCACATTAGGTTCCTTTCTGGGTGACTGTAGGATTTGCCAAAAAGTGTATAAACATTTTCAAATATTCTTTAGTGCTCAATTCTCCCACAGTTAGAAAAAATTCCCTGCTATCTAACCTCTCTTGTTTAATTTAAACCCCTTACCTATCCTTTGCCTAGTGGTAAAGGAGAACAGTAATAATCTTCTTCTTTGTGAGAACTATTTAAATATTTGAAGACTTTTGAAGACTAGTATCATGTCTCCACTCAGTCTTCTCTAGCCCAAGAAAAAAGTCTGGTCCTTTTAGTCTTTTTTCACAAGTCATATTCTGTAGACCTCTGACCTCTCATCATTTTGGTTGCTGTTCTCTGGACAAAGTTTCCCTCTCCAGTTGGACAAAGCACTCTATTTGAGGCCATACCAGAGCGGAGTAGAGTGGAAGGATTATCTAATGTGCCTTGCATACAATCCTTCTGTTAATGCATTCCAGTATGAATGTATGGCATTTTGTTTTTTCACAGTATTGTTGACTTATGTCCAGTTTGTCCACATGTTGTATTTGTGTACTTGATTTTTCCTAGGTAGGTGTGATAGTGTGCATTTGTCCATACTGAATTTCATCCTGTGCTTCATAGATTCATAAATGCTAGGGTCAGAAGGGACCTCAACAGATCGAGTCTGACACGCTGCCTACACAGGAAAGAGTGCCAGATGCCTATCCAGCCTTCTCTTAAAGACCCTCAAAGTAGGGGAGAGCACCATCTCCCTTGGAAACACATTTCAAATTTTGGCCACCCTTACCATGAAGAAGTTTGTTCCCTGATATCTAGCCTAAATCTGCTCTCTGTCAGTTTGTGACCATTGTTCCTTGTTACGCCAAGAGGTGCCCTGGTGAACAGAGCATCTCCTATTCCTTGCTGTGTCCCCCTAATGAATTTGTAGGTGGCCACAAGATCACCTCTCAGCCTTCTCTTGTGGAGGCTGAAGAGGTCCAGGTTCCTCAGTCTCTCCTCATAGAGCTTGTCCTATAAGCCCCTAACCATATGAGTTGCCCGCCTCTGGACCCTCTTGAGTCTATCAACATCCTTCTTGAAGTGCGGCACCCAAAACTGGATGCAGTACTCCAACTGCGGTCTGACCAATGCTGCATAGAGGGGAAGTATCACCTCCTTGGATCTATTTGTCATGCATCTGCTGATGCATGATAAAGTGTGGATAGGTTTGCTGATGATTTCATCACACAGATGACTCATGTTCATCTTGGAGTCCACTATGACTCCGAGATCCCTTTCCACTTCTGTGCTGCTGAGAGGGTCACTTCCTAGCCAGTAGGTGTGCTGGATATTTTTGCACCCTAGGTGTAGCACTCTGCACTTGTCCTTGTTGTACGGCATCCTATTGTGTACTGCCCACTTTTCTAACCTGTCCAAGTCTGCCTGCAATTGTTCCCTACCCTCCAGAGCATACACTTCACCCCACAATTTAGTATCATCCACACACTTGGACAGAGTACACTTCATACGCACATCCAAGTCACTGATGAAGATATTGAAGAGTACACGTCCAAGGACCAAACCCTGCGGGACTCCACTCCATTACTCACATCCTTCTAGGTCAATTCTGACCCGTCTACTACTACTCTGGGTATGATGGCTAAGCCAATTTGCCAACCACTGGACCATGTAAACATCTATGTCACAGCCTCTTAATTTATTTATGAGAATGGGATGAGATACCATATTGAAGGCCTTGATAAAGTCCAATAAAATGACATCCACATCTACTCCTACATCTAAGCATTTTGTGACCCTGTCATAAAATGAAACCAGATTGGTCAGGCATGTTCTACCTGCTACAAATCCATGCTGGTTTCCCTTCTGCATTATTTTTCCCGACGGGCTCCCACAAATCCTTCATTATTTTTTCAAAGACCTTTCCAAGGATGGAAGTGAGACTGACTGGCCTATAATTACTCGGATCCTCCTTCCTCCCCTTCTTGAAAATAGGGACCATATTGGCCCTTTTCCAGTCCTCCGGAGCCTGACCTGAGTGCCATGAGCACTCAAACAGCCGTGCCAGTGGTTCTGCTATGACACCAGCCAATTCCTTCAGTACCCTTGGATGCAGCTCATCCGGGCCTGCTGACTTGAACACATCCAGGCCATCCAAGTGACTCTGCACCAAGTCAGTGTCAACAGTTTGTAGTCTGGTGTCCCTCTGATGCCATCAAAGAACCCATTAGGAGACTTATCTTGAGCCCTGTTCAGAAACACTGAGGCAAAAAACGCATTGAATAGCTTAGCCTTGTCCCCCCTCTCTGTCACTAATTGCTCCTCCTTGTTCAGTAGGGGTCCTATGTTGCCCTGCACCTTCCTTTTACTCCCTACATACCTAAAAAAAGATTTTTTGTTGTCTTTAATTTGTGTTGCCAGCCTCAGCTCTGTAGTTGCTTTGGCCTTTCTAACTGCCTCCCTGCAAGTGCAGGCCAAGTAGGTATACCTCTTCTTGGTAGCTTCCCCCTGCTTCCACCGCCTATATGCCTTCTTTTTTTCCATTAGACTCCCCTGGATTTCCCTGCTTATCCAAGGAAGTTTTTTGGCTCCTTTCCCCCTTTTCCCTCATACTGAAATAGTCTCCTTCTGTACCCGAAGGATTGCTTCCTTTAGAAACGACCACCCTTCCTGGACTCCCATCTTGCCAATACTCTTATCCTGCAGT